CCACCGCCTTCTACCATCCACCACCACCGTCGTCGCCATCTCCATTACCTTCCACCACCACCGCCTTCTACCATCCACCACCACCGTCACTGCCATCTCCATTACCTTCCACCACCACCGCCACCCTCAACCACCATCACCTTCCACCACTATCGCCCTTCACCACCACCGTCGCCTTTCACCATCGTAAATGCCTTCCACTACCACCACCGCCTTCAACCACCACCATCGCCACCGCCACCACCTTCCACAATTGCCACTTTCCACTATTACCACCGCCACCTCCTTTTACCACCACCACCTATCACCACCACCACCACCTTTTACCATCGCCACCACCACCTTCCACCATTATTACTGCCACCGTCTTCCACCACGGTTGCAACCGACTTTCATCACCTCCACCTCCTTCCAATACCACCACCGACTTTTACCACTACTACTGCCTTCCATCACTGCCGCCTGCCACCTTTACTACCTTCCACCACCACCACCATTACGTCCACTGCCTTTTACCACCACTACATTCACCACTATCTCCTTCCATCACCACACTACTACCACCACCGCCTTCCAACACCACTACCACTTCCCACCTCCATCACCATCGTCACTGACATCCACCTGCCACCATTTATTTAAAAATATATATATATAATAATTATTTTGTTAATTTAATTTATTTATTAATAAGAAGGGTATTTTGGAGAATTCAATTTGAAATTCATTACATTCTAAATTTTAAATTGGCACCAACATGCTAGTGGTCTAGCGATATTAGGCATTTACTTTGCAAAGGTAGGTCAAGGATTCGAGCCTTAATGGAGGCATATATGTGTGAGTATTAACTAAGAAAAAAAAAATTTAAATTGGTACAACCAAACACCAGAATGTTTATTATAATTCCATTTCAACATATTTCATATTTGCAATCAAATAATAGAATGAGAATGGCCATTTCATTCAATTCCTCCTTACATTCCATTCCATTCCATTCCTGTATACCAAATGCAACAAGAAAAAAAAGGGAATTGAAGAAAAGTATAATGCGGGATATCAACACCCAAAAAAAAAAGTTAAAAATTTGAATTAAAATTTTAAAATTTAATTTTAATGTGATGTTCTTGTGTTTTATAACAGAGATTATTTATATAAATAAAAAATAAAAAAATAAAAAAAGGAGAAGAAGTAAAGTATCTTGTTATATATTATAGGGTAAAATGCAAAAAAATAAAAAAATAAAAAAATAAAAAAAAATAAAAAAATAAAAACAAAACAACCCTTCTAAACTATGAATTTGTTGCATTTCAGTCCATTCCTGCAGCTGCCTTAACCAAAAAAATAAAAAGTTTGATTTACCCTTATTAAAATGATGTAGTTTTGGGAGTGTTTAAACTAAGTGAATCAAATGACATGTATACTCTTATTTAAAGAACTTGTTCTATGGTCTTTGGAGAAATTATTTGTAGTCCTGGGACCACCACCTCAGCTATGGTTCCGGACAATCCTAGTCGTCCAAAATGATAAATCAATTTTGATCAAAAGTTGACCGTCCTTTTCCATCTCCACGTTCTCTCTCTTTTCCCTCTCAAAACTCAAATTACAGACACCGAAGAGGAGAGGCTGATTCGGGGGAAGCTGCATTGTCTTCGGTTGCCACTGTTACCTCGGCTAGATTCGACCATTTAAGAAGAACTCATTGGCGGAGCAGGAGGTCATCGATCCAGCACAATCACCGGAGTAAAACCAATAAAGAAAGGAAACCAAAGGTCATCGACGACGGTAGCGAAGCAATGCAGCGGCTTCCCCCTCTAGAAAGTGACCCATCATTCTTTCCTAGAACCGACCCAACACTACTTCAACCTCCATTCCTCTCCTCTTTGTAATGACGGTGGCTTTACCCAAATCAGCCTCCGCTCCTTCCCAGTGCTTGATGGCAACAAAGAGTTGATGTTGAGGCAGAGGGCACAAAGAAGATCACGATTGAAGCACGGAGCCTGAAGCGAGGTCGCCGGAAAAGAGGGGGCACATATGCATGTGAAAAACATGTTAGATTTACTCGTAGGAGTGCGTGATGTGTTTGGAGCATAGAAAAATTGGCTAACTTGGCGATTTGGCCAAGCCACTTCTCCTCTCTGTTCGTTCTGGTGCTATAGTGGTGTGGATAGGGAAAAAGTTGCAGTGGTGGTGGTGTGAAAAGGGAAGTGGTGCTGTTAGAGAATGATGTTATAGGCGATAGTGAGTGATTAGTTTCTAATGGTGTGGCTCGAAGTTTAGTTCGGCGGCGATGGTGGTTTGTGGTGTTCAGTCTAGTGACGATGGTGGTTTGTGGAGTTGATATGCCGATATGAGAGTATAGAGAGAGAAAATAAGGGCAATATGGTCATTTAATTCCAACTTTTGGATCACGTGATAACACATGCATCATATCCAACAGGAGCCTTACCGGATTGGGTCATTTGCAACAAAAATTCATATTTCAGGAGGTTAGTTACAATTTTTGTAGTTCAAGGGGTTCGTTACTAATTAGCTAGTAGTTTAGGATTTTTTTTTTTTTTACCCTATCTTATAGACTCAATGTGGCATTCCATCCACTTTTGATATTATAATTTTTTAGGAAGACTTGCAAGAAATATATTGTTCTCTTTTAAAATTATCGCATTGTCCTTTTAAGCAAGTTGACTTAAAGGGTAATTATGAAAAAGTAGTACCTCAAAATATTAGTCCATCTTTCTATATTCATATGTCAAAGAAAAACATGTCCCATTCCATAATTGGATGTATTACTTTTTATAACATTTTCAAACTATCATTTTAATTAAACAAGTACACTAATTATGGAGCACTATTTTGTCTTTTAACAAGGGCATATTTAAAAATTCACTCTAACCTATACAACAATAAAAATAAAAAATAAAATAAAAACTTTTAAAACTCCCCTAACATAAAAAAGTTAGATTCCCCAAATAGGACATGTATTTTGAGATAGAGAAATTATTTTTATTTATTTTTATTTTACTTGTCAAATGAGACAATTAATTTGAGTCATTCCAAAAAGGAATACCATAGTAACTGGACTGCACAAGTCTTTCAAGAATTTGGCATAAGTCGGAATTTGCTTGATTGCATCAAAAAGTGGAAGATTGACTTTCACTTGTATAAACATTTCCATGATTTCATTGATTTTTGCCTTTTGCTTATCTTTTGAAATGGATCCTTTTACACGTTTCAGTGGTCCTAGAGAGTTGGTATATGCAAGAATATTACATATTTTTTTGAGACTAAGTCTGGATAAAGTTGTTATTGCAGCATACAACTTGTAACCTGTTGCAGCTGGTGAGAATAGTGACAAATTAGCTATACTAATTTCCAACGGGGGAATAGATTTTTCACCAACTTTCAAAATTAAAGAGTCTTTACTTATTGAAATTTATATTATTACATGTGTACTCAAAATCGAATTTAACAACCCACACAGTATTTGAATTTGTCAATAACTATTGGTATGAATTATTGGAAGGCGTCCGTCAGCCGATTCCTTTTCTTTCTGATTTTTACTGATACAGTGTCATGACATGGCATATGTTCTTTGCGCTGGTCAATTTGTTTTTACTATGTAAAACTTTTTTGAATTAAGATTAGGTCTGATTTGAAATTTTTTAATGTAAATTTTATGTGGTTTGAATTGTCAATAATTGAAATTCAATTGCTCTTAGTAAAATTTGATAATAATAATAATAATAATATTGATAGTACTCCAAATTCAATCGAAATTGGGGGGAAATTGAGCTAAACCGTAGTAATACTTTTGATATACTTTTCGGGATTTCACACTTTCATTTGAATTTGCGACTCTAAACCCTCAACTTTTACATCACAATCTATATCCCTCTACCTATATCCTATAGTGAATCTTCAGTTTTTTTTATCATTCACATTTTAGAGTTTTTTTGTTGGAATCTTTTGAAAAAATCCCCGTATATAATTTTGATTAAAACATAACTACGTAGTCAAATTTTTTAGTTATAAATATTTTTGGCGATTAAAGTTTCTAAGAAAGCAATTCAAACAAATTTTACTCATTAAATCAATCATTTACTCATACAAACATTAAGTTTAAACCATTTAATTTTGCTCCGATAGAGTTTGGACTGCAATTTTTCTCGAGTTAATAAACAATTTTTTTTTTTTTTTCTTAGATAAGATATGTAATTTCAGAAGCTCCTCTTGTTGTGGGAAATAGTGAAGATTCACTTTTGCTTATTCTAATATGGTTTCTATTTCTCTTAATCTTCCATGGAGGCTAGTATGATCTAACTTTATTATTTTGTAAACAAAACCAAAATTATAATTGTAATAGTTTCTTTTAAATTCATGTATTACATGATCCAATATCTTAAAACTGACATTAAAAAGATTTTCATTATTATTTTTTTTATAAAAAATTTCAACTCTGGACTGGAGTTAAAATCTGTATTATCAACACACTCTCTCTTTCTCTACCATCTGAATTCTCTCTCTCTCTCTACCATCTGAATTTGCATCTCTCTCTCTCTCTCTCTCAATCTGCAATCCCTCAATCTCTATTCTCTCTCTCTCTCTCTCTCTACCATCTGAACTTGCATCTCTGTCTTTCACAAAATCTGTATTATCAACACTCTCTCTCTCTCTACCATCTGAATTTGCATCGCAATCCCTCAATCTCTATTCTCTCTTATCTCACATCTACTGAATCTTCACTTTCCGTTCATCTATTTTATTTGTCTTGGATCAGACTTGGAATATGCCAGAGGTATGTGTTTAATTTTCTTCTTTAGTTTCCTCAACAACTCTTTTTAACCTCTGTTTTTCTGGTGGTCCCATTTCCTGCTTTGTATTTTGTTCTCCTACATGCATCTGATTTTCCCTCACTTCCTCTGTCTCTCTCTCTAGACCTGAATTTGTGTCTCTCTTGTGAATCTTCACTTTTCTGCCCCCCCCCCCCCCCCCCCCCAAAAAAAAAAAAATCGTCACTTTTGTTTGTCGTTCAAAATCGAACTGTGTGTATTTGTCTTGAAGTCTCTTCATTTAATTTCTTAGCTTTCTCGTTATTGAAAAATTTAAAAAAAAAAGAAAAAAGAAAGACACATCCACTCTTCTTTGTTTTGAAGTCTCTTCCATTAATTTCTTAGCTTTTTCCTTATCTAAGAAACAGTCGTAAGCTTTCTGTATTTCTATTGGCAATTCCTTTATATGCCATTCACTCTTGCATCTGAATCTGCAATTCCTCAAATCTCTGCTCTCTCTCTCTCCATCTGCAATTGATCCCTAATTACCCTCTCAATCTGTTGTTTTTGCTCTCTTTTTTGGGTCAGTTTGAATCAGAGTTGGTGTGTTGGGGATTTGAGAAAATTCACTTACTAGATCCTTCAGGTCCATCAGCTACAAGAGGTACTTCTTAAATTCTCTCTCTCTAATTTCTTCAACAGTAATCATAGCTAGCTCTATGTATATCTATTTCTTTAATTTTTCTCTCTTTATTTGCAATCCCTCAATCTTTGTTTTATCCTTCTCTCTCAGTCTCATCCATCTACCGAATCTTCTTCACTTTATGTTGATCTATTTTATTTCTCTTGGGTCTGTCTAGTTTACTACTGCTTCCATTTTGTCTCCGAAACAAAAAAAAAAAAAAAAACACATCCACTCTTGCATGTTTTGAAGTCTCTTCCATTAATTTCTTAGTTTTTTCCTTATCTAAGAAACAGTCGTAAGCTTTCTGTATTTTTATTGGCAATTCCTTTATATTCTGTATTGCATCATCTCCTTAGAAAAAGAAACAAATTGAAAATTGCTTGTGAATTCAAAATGGCCGACAATATTGCTAGTACTATTGTGGGAACGATGTTGGAGCCGATCAGAGACAGCTTGTACAAAATCATCAGGCGTCAATTTGGTTATTTGTTCCACTACAAGGAAAACATTAAAGATTTCGAAGATGAAGTTAATAAACTCAGAGACGCAATGACAAGTGTCCAAACAAGGGTGGATGCAGCATTGAACAATGCTGAAGTCGTTGAGGATAATGTTTCGAGGTGGCTGACCGAAGTGCAGAGCTCATTGCCCACGATGGAAGAAGACAGGAACAGATTACAGCAAGGCACAGAAAATCTCAAGTGTATTGATGTATGCTCGCGGTACCGGTTGGGTAAGGAAGGAAAAAAGAAGCAGCCTCATGTTACCAAGCTTATAGAGGCTGGCAATTTTGACTCGGTTGGACACCGACCTCCTCTCACTGGTATTTGGCACAAAACATACAGCGTAAACTATGAGAATTTTCAATCCAGGGAGTTGGTTTTTGAGAAGATCATGAAGGCACTTAAAGATGATCGGAATTACAAGATTGGGATACATGGAATCCCAGGTGTTGGAAAAACAAGGATGATGAAGGAAGTTGCCCAACAAGCTGAAAAAGATCAGCTTTTTGATGAGATTGGTGCGATAGTTTTCACCCAGAATCCAAATCTGAAAGAAATTCAACAGAAACTTGCAGATTGTATGAATTTAATATTTGATAAAGAATCTGAAGAAGCGAAGAAGGGCCTGCTACTCAATAGATTGAAAGGTGGTAAGAAGATCCTTGTAATGGTCGATGATATTTGGAATGATAAAATTAAGTTGGAGGACATAGGATTTCCAGCTACCAATGATCATGCCAAGGGTTGCAAAATTTTATTCACCTCTCGGCATCAAGATGTGTGTAAAGATATGGGGGTTCCTGAAAATGAAAACTTTCAAATTGGACTCTTATCGGAAGATGAAGCATGGTCACTATTCGAGAAAAAGGTGGGAGATTCTATCAAACCTCATGAAATGCATCTTGTAGCGGAAGCGGTGTGTAAAGAATGTGCATGTTTGCCCTTGGCAATACTTACAGTTGGAGGAGCATTAAAGGATAAGAGTAAGCATATATGGGAAGATGCACTTGAACAATTGAGAAATTCCACGGGAGAGAACATTGAAGGAATGGAAGCAAAACTCTATTCACGCATAGAGTTAAGCTACAAGTATCTGGAGCTAGTTGATGCGAAGTCAATTTTTTTGCTTTGTTGTTTGTTCGGAGAAGATACTGAGATTTCTATTGATGACTTGGTGAGCTATGGATTTGGAATGAGGCTTCTCGAAGGCGTGGATACAATGAAAACAGCTAGGAATAGAGCTTATGTAATCGTCGATATGCTCAAGAGATATTCTCTGCTATTAGAAGGTAGAAGCCAAAACTTTCTGAAAATGCACGATGTCATTCGAGATGTGGCTATGTCAATTTCATCAAAAGAAGATGTCATGTATCTAGTGAAAGTAGGTGTGGAAAAGTGGCCGGAGGAGGATGAAGGTAAAAGATGCAGAGGAATCTCATTAAGGTTCAACAAGGATTTTGTACTTCCCGTTGATTCAGAATGTCCGGAACTACGCACGTTAATGCTGGAAAGCGTAAGTGGTTTGTTAGAAGTTCCGAGTAGCTTTCTTGAAGGGATGAAGAAGCTTGAAGTTTTACATTTGTGTGGCATGTGCATCTCAACAGTACCAATATCATCACTTCAAAATCTTCGGATGTTACGGCTGTACAATTGCAAATGGGTGAACCTAGCTTTTCTGAAGGAGTTACAAAAACTTGAGATACTAAGCATTCAAGTTTTTTTTGGATGGGATGAATTGACTCTGGATATAGGACAGTTGTCTAGTTTGCGCTCGTTGAATGTGAGAGGCTTTAACAACCTCAAAATCCATCCAGGTGTCATCTCAAGTCTATCCCAGCTTGAGGAATTTCACATTCGAGACTTTGACAAATGGGAGATTGAAGGCAATGCAAGCCTGGTTGAACTAAATTCATTGACTCGCTTAATCAGTTTACAAGTTAAAGTGCCAAATGCCAAGTTACTGCCCATCAATGACCTCCTGTCTAAATCATTAATCAGATTTCAAATATCCATTGGCCAGGTAATACACTTTATTGCTTTTGACCGCACTTCATCTAGAAAAATTTCGGCAACTGCAACAAAGATATTGAAACTAAAGGGAATTCCTTTGAAGAGGGAGCTTCACATTTTGATGGAGAAAGCTGAAGTGCTATGCTTAGAAGAATTGGAAATTATAAAGAATGTGAGTCAGGACAGAGATGGCGAGGGGTTTCTAGACTTGAAGTATCTTGGAGTTAAGGATTGTAAGGGGATAGAATATTTATTTGGCAGACCAAATTGGAATTCACAGACCATCGGATCACGCGTGTCTTGTTCTTTTGGTAAATTAAGTATTTTGGAAGTAATAAACTGTCAGGTCGAGATATCTCTTCTCCGCAGCCACAGCAAGAGGCCTTCTGCAACTCCAAGAATTAAGTATAAGTAAGAGTGAAATCTTGGAAGAAATAGTTGGAGATGACAATGAAATCATGGATACAATTACTTTTCATAAATTAAAGAAAATGGAGTTGAGGGATCTATCAACACTGACAAGCTTCAATTGCAAGACGTCAGCTGAATTTTATACATCCGGCCTTGCACAACTGTTTAATGATAAGGTATGCTCGGCATTATCTATCCATATTCCACACTTGTTAATTTGCCTTCACCGTTCAAAGTGAAAAACATAAGTTTGGTTAGAATCTATTTTTTTTTTTTTTTTTTTAATCATGAGATTTGAATTTGGTTCGACAACTTGGGATTGATTGGTATTGCATTTTCCAGACCCATATCACATCTCAATTTACTTTTATTTATTTATTTTAAATTATTATTATTTTTTTGTTGTTAAAACGTAATTTATCACATTCGAAATTTGATGAAATAAGATGAATTGAAATGTTTGAATATACAAACCAATTTTTTTTTAATTTTATTTATTTATTTTTTTTAATTTTCGGATTCCTAAAACAAATCAAGTCGAATGTCTTAATGAAAATATTAGAAGCATACGTAATATTTGAATATAGATTGAATGAATTCTCCAGATAAAATTATACACCTACTTGAAATCTAACATATATTAAAAAGTAATAAAATAACTATTTGATTTACAAACTCTTATCAATGGATCTTGACATTATTTTATATAAAGTGGACTAAAGTGTCCTTTCAAATTTTTTTTTTTTTCTTTTGTAACTTCACTTTCCTACGTATTTGACTCGAGAATAGAGAACAAAGTTCAATGGGTACCATTTTTGTTCATTACATTAACTATCTTCAATAATTTTTTTCTTTTTTTTTTTTTTTTTGGCTCTTCACAAATACATGCACCAGATAAATTCTCTCCGGTGCAGGCAAAGCGCCACATTACCCACTTGTCAAAACGTCATCTTGCAAAGCAATCTAATACTAATATATTGTTGATAAGTGAAAAAATATTTTAATGTTTATAATAGAGAAAACTTTTAAGAAATCCATAACATAAGGAAATTTAAAATTTAACTCTCAGAATTACTAAACATAGGGAAAAAAAAAAGGGGCAAAATTACCTCCTCGTAATATAATTTGGATGGCTGGTTTTACTATCTTGATACACTAATTTTGTACAATTTTAATTAAATTATGAATTTCATTTGTTTTTCTTAAAACAATATAATTTGGATAGCAGGTTTTATTATCTTGATACACTTTTTCCAATAAACTAAAAGCATGACAGTTTTTGAAGTACAAAATTTCTTTATTAAAATGCGATTTCAGATCATCAATACTATGACATTGATATATTACTCTTCGATTGCAAATTCAATTTTCAAACCATTTCATTTACATTGCAATTCTTTTCTTTAGAAACTCCTTTTTACTAAGCCAAGTAGAATCCATTTAATTATTTTTTTCAAAAGAGACTAAGTTGGAGCAATTTTTTATTTCTTTGAAAGAAGGTTTTGGCACACCCGCGTAAAGTATTTTTCTAATTGGCTAATGCTGCCAATTTAGTGCGTCAACACTTTGTTTTCTCTTTAAAAAGAATTTTCCTTTTATTTTTTTCAATTACAATGGGGATTAGGAAGTTTTCTTAATTAAAAACATTCTTGAATAAATTTTGGTTTTCCCTGTACTCGGTTTAAGCCTGATCCGAAACAAATGCATGTCTATTTTGAAAATTTGTAGATCCGTAATATGATTTGGATGGCTGATTTTGTTATCTTGATACACTTTTTGTGTACAATTTTAGTGAAATTATGAATTTCATTTTTTTTTTTCCTTAAAACATTATAATTATGTATTTAAATCCTTCAATTGCGTAAGCATTTTCTATTCCTGTGTTTTGGTAAAGCTTATTACCTACAGGTTCTTTCAATAAACTAAAAGTATCAACACTATGACAGTTTTTTGAAGTATAGTATTTTTTTTTTTGTAAAAGTGATTCCAGATCATCAACACTAATAAATATGTTAAGTGCAATAATCTTAAAGCATCAACCCATAAATTTTTGAAGTACAATAAACTAAAAGCAACCTTGATTTCATATATTTTCATTTCAATTGAATTATTACATTCTAGTAAGTCTAATATCTATTCTAACCTTTTTTGACATTTGTGCTATTTTTCCAACATTAATTCATGAAATGTGATGTAATGAAATTTGCAGGTTAGGTTCCCAGCCTTGGAGGAATTGGAGATTATAAATTTGTACAGACTCACGGCCATATGGGACAATCAATTATTCCTAAGCCAAGAAACAGAAGATTCCTTTCAGCAACTGAGGCTCATTAAAGTGTATAAGTGTGAGAGGCTAGTAAATGTCATTCCACCCAATGTTCTTCCGTTGTTACAGAATCTTGAAAGTGTCGAAATTGATTCATGTGATTCAATTGTATCTGGAATTGAAGTGGTTGCAATCGAAGAAGGTGGTGATGAGATCATCGTGTTCCCGCATTTAAAGATTGTGAGAGTTGTAAACTTGCCAAACCTCATTAGTTTCTGCTGCAGTGAAGGATCCAAAGAAGAAGCCAGTGATAAGATCCTGGTATTCCCTCAATTAAACAAAATAAGACTTTCAAGGTTGCCAAAGTTCGGTAGTTTCTACTGCTTCATAAATGAAAAAGAAAGCAAATTGAAGGGGAATATTCCCCAACGACAAGCTCTCTTCAACCACAAGGTACCTACATGTCTGTGTCCTTAATTAATTCTAATAAATATTGGGTTCACTGAATAACTGAAATTAATGAATTTCAATTACATTTCCACTAAACCTTGCATTGAATGTTGTGTTTTGGTGGCTTTTTGTTATTGCATCCTCATGTTCTTGAAATCAGTAATAAACTTTATTATTCTTTTCCTTAAAAAATGTTAAATCATTAATTTGGCAGATTGCGTTATTATCACCAGCAAACTGATGTTTTGCAGGTTAAATTTCCTTGCGTGGAGGACTTGGTTATTGAGGGAATGAACCAGTATAGGTGTCTCAAGCTCTTCAATGTTGCTTCAACAGAATCACTTACAAGTTTCCAGAACCTAAAAGTGCTCCATGTGAAACGGTGTGACTCCCTGCAAGCGGTATTTAAAGTTGAAGGGTCAAGGGGTGCAGAAGAAACAGTTGCAAGTGATAAAGCTATGGGAAAAGAAGTGGAGAACAATCTTGTGTTCCCTCAATTAAATGAAGTGGTCTTTGAAGATCTACCGTCCGTGACGAGCTTTTGCGGAAGGAATTGCATTTCTGAATTGCCATCCGTAATAAAAATAACAGTAGAATGCTGTCCCAAATTGGAGATGTTTCCTTGCCGATACTTGAAGATTACTGAACCATTGTGGAACCTGAATATTGTGGAGCTAAATACAGTGGATGCCCCCTTTCAACCATTGCCGAATGAAATGGTAAGTCCATTAATTCCTGTTACAGTTATGAGGAAAATATTATTCCAATTTTCTCTGGTGTTATTGAAAATTTGCAAACCAATTTAAATCCATCTATTTATATACCAGAGCCTCGAAAATCAAAACCAGATCGAGCCTCAAATGAATGCCACTAGCTGTGAGCAGGATGGGGGGATTTTCTTGTCAACAACCTAATATGCAGTTATATATCTATAATTTGAGAAGAAATTGATTAATTTGTAAAGCATAAAAATGGAATTAGAACTGAAAATTAGAAAGTTCATTATTGCTTGGTTTGCTTTATTTTTTTAATCAGAATACATGCTTCACACAGTGAGTGATTTCTGCGCGCAGGTTGAATTTCCTATCTTGGATACATTGATAGTCAGTGATGAGAGCCATGTCCATCACTATTGCAAAGTAATAAGATCCCTGGAGGTGCGAAACTGCTGGAACTTAGTAAATCTTTCTACTCTGCTACAACGGTTTGAGAATATCCAAAAGCTCACTCTGAAATCTTGTTACGCGTTGGAGTGTATTTGGATAACAGACCCCCAGGGACTTCTGGTGTTTCACAACCTAACATCTTTGACAGTAGAAAAATGCATGAGACTGAGGTATCTATTCTCACTCTCAATAGCAAGAGGTCTCACACAACTCAGAGATCTAAATATTGTTGATTGTGCTGTGATGGAAGAAATATTTAAAAATGAAGAACAAGATGCCATGGATGAAATTGTGTTCTCTCAGCTACACTATTTGAGGGTAAAAAAATGCATCGGACTAAAGTATCTATTCCCACTCTCAATAACAAGAAGTCTCACACAACTCAGGGATCTAAGAATTGAAGATTGTGATGCGATGGAAGAAATAATTAAAAATGCGGGAGGAGGAGGAGGAGGAAGAGGAGAAGATGCCACCGATGAAATTGTGTTCTCTCAGCTAGGGTATCTGAAACTTTCATATCTACCAAATCTCACATGTTTTTGTCAGACAAACAATGTTTTTAAATTCCCATCCTTGACGAGTTTTCAAATGAAAGAATGCCCGAGCGACATTCAGATCTGGATACTTAACCACACCATATACAAAATTAACGATAGATTGGATGCCACGTCATGTAAGGGCCCATTTGGTGTTTGTTCTGTGCTGTAGTGTAATGCTCAGTGACCTTAATAATTATGTGCAGCAATCTCAGAAAGGAAAGGTAAACTACGTACACGTCTTTGTCCTTACCACAAGACATCACTTAGCAAATGCTTTTCACTTAATCCATTTACCTTCTCTTTAATTTAGGAAGCAGCGGTGGAAGATAATAATGATGAAGAAACAAGTTAAGAATTGGGATAAACCACGATGACCATATTCCGCTAAATCAGTAAATAAGGTACCCCGTCTTTTCTTTTTCTTTACAATTTTTTTTTTTTTTGGACATTTAAATACTTGAGTGTGACTAATTTAATTGAGGTAAATTTAAATACTTGAGTGTGATCTATTTAACTGAATAGTGTATTATACCAATGAGTTACTCGAATTAGTCAATATCTTTTCAAGCTGTCCAATTTGTTTGTAGGATAAGAATTCTTTGTCTAATTTTTATTTTATTTTTTTCTATTTCGGTTTTCAATAACTATAACTAATTGTTTCTTTTCTCGGGTTTCAAATTTCCTCAAAAGGCATCTACAAATATCTCTCCACAAGTCAAAGCAAGTTCATCTCTGTCCAACTTTTAGTCAATTTGTTGACCCTAAGCCCCTCTTTTCACCGATTGTTGATCCTTTTGCAAAATTGAAATTTGCTTCAAAGAAAGCAGAAAAACGAGAGTAGAATTTCCTTAATATATTGTTGTAATGAGATACTATTTATGGAAAATTATAAATCTATTAGTAATTTATTGTCTATCAATATTTATGTTTTTGTTTATATTATTTAAGTTTAGTTTTTCTATTATATACATTCTCATTTTTCAACATTGTCTATCCCTAAAGAAATTTTTTTTTAACTCCGCCACGGTATATAATTTCAGTAGATCAGTTATATTTTGTATTCTATTATTTCATGTATATCTTACATAACCTTGATATTGGTGGTGCTGATTGTAGTAGAATGGAAGAGGTTTTCAATTTATTAACAATTCTCATTTGGGTATTCCAGCCCACAAAAATAAAAGATGTAAAAGTGTTGGGATAATGGGATTAGAATAAAAGCCCTTGACCATTTGGGGTTATTAAACTTCATATACCTTAAAGTTCATATGATTTAAAGAGAGGTCAGTTTTGATGATGATCCGTATAGCAAGCGGTTGGTAAAATAAATCTTTTTGTTTCATTTGTATGGGGAAAGAATGTAAAGGATGAAACAAATTCAAAATAGTGAAGCTATCACTCATGGTGGCAATTGCAGTGTTGCCTTCGATGGTTATGGTGAGGATGGAATTGAGATTTAAAACTCTTAATTAAAGGCTCTTTCTCATACTTAAATATATATAAATAAATTTTCCTCTTTCTCAATAATTCATTGGTTACAGTTTCCATTTTGAATTTCTGACCAATCACCCTCTATTATTTGCAGGTAAATCTAAATTCTCATGGGACCCATCTAAATCAATGGGAGGTGATTGAAACTGATAACTTTAATCCGAAAGTCTCATTAATAGAGAGACTTTGCAATCAAATGTGTTTGTCTCTTACCATTCCTAATAACATAATGCGACCTTTCAACTGCCTTTTGAATTACCAAAAGCGGAAGGATTATTAATTTAATTTATTTTTTCCTAGAAAATAACTCACATTCTTCTTGAGAATACTGAAGTCCTCTGATTTTCATTTTAAAAATAAAAAAATATATATCACTAAGCTAAAGGCCTTTATGATAGTGACAATTCATTAATTACTTTCCTTCCACTACATGTGCTGCTAAAATCTATTTTAACTAGTTACTATTGAAATATTAATGGCATGTTGTTAATACACTGGATTGTTACTATTGAACTATTTCAATATATTTTATTGAGAATTTTGTCTAAGGTTAATTATTATTATTACTATTTTTTTTTTAGCAGTAGTAAAAAGCGAAAAACACCTAAAACACAACAAAAACTAGTAATACATAACCATAAACCATTATGCAAGTATTGATTGTAATACCCGTGTTATTTATTTATTTATTTATTTGAATATTTATTTATCTAGTTGACTTTTTAAGTACTATTAGTGATAATAGGTTATCTTTTAAAAAAGAAGTTGAAATTTTAAAGGGATCCTAAAATATCTCACCTACCAGATATTGATACTCTTTATAAGTCTATCTTGCTATTTATATTAAATTACGATATTTTTTTATAAATCGAAAGAGAGATAAAGATAGTAGGGTTATACAGAGTGAGTGAAATCTGACATCGTGTACCTGCCTGCAGTTTCTGCGAAGAGAATCGGTGATCGGAGATTCGTATAGTAGAAGGGAGTAGCGTTTTCAGGCAAGTTAATCTTGCTTTATATTTTTATATAATCATAACTCTATGTGGAATTATATTAAAATAGTTAAAAAAATTGTATATTAGGTTAAATGCGTTAAATTAATCTAAGATAATTTTAAGATTAGATTTGCATGAACTTGTATAAAGTGATCTTTTGTATTTAATTAATTGGTATATTTTAGTTACCTTAAATTTCTAATGTGATACGTACTATGTTCTTGTTAAGTCATGAAACCTAAATTGTTTCCATTATTATAATAAATTATTCATTAAAGTGTATAGGAAGGTACCCGTATTATTATGCTCGGTTACAATGATGGGTACTGTGAAGGGATACTTTTTAAGTAATCACTTTCTTTCACTATTAGTTGTAGAATCAAGATTTGGATATAAATGAA